TCAGGGTCAGCCCCGTATCTGTTCCCGGTGGGGCTCTGGAAGCCGCATCCATTCAAGGAGGTCTCTCACCTTGTAGGTTTTTCCTGCACAGGCTCCGGCCGCGGAAAGGATGGCCTGCTCTGGAAGCCACATCCGTTCAAGGAGGTCTCTCACCTTGTAGGTTTCTCCTGCGCAGGCGCCGGCCGCGGAAAGGACGGCGTCGGAGCCGCCGAGCAGGCTTGGGACGCGAAGCAGTTCGCGCTTGCGGAAGAAGAGGATGCAGCCGTGAGAGGGAGCAGGTAGGGACCCTCCCCAGAGAGAGAGAGAGAGAGAGGGAGACCTCGGGGCAGGAGAGGACGCCCCCCCTTGGGGTTCCCCCCCCCTCCTAGTGGCGGATTTTTTTTCTTGTCCCAGCCTGTGTCTGTGTGTGTCTGTCCTTGGGTTGCAGGCTTCCTGGAGACCTCGGCTGCATCTCCCCGAGGGGCTCGTCCTGCACTTTGCACTAACGACCAGCCACACTCCGGCCTTGACGATGGGAACAGCCATCGAGGAGAGGAAGGAGGAGAAGGATTGAACCGCCAACGAGGCTGACTGGGGACGGCACTCTTTGAGAAAGGAAGAAGCAACTTCCTGGTGTTTACACGGACCGTCTCATCTCTCTTGCCCGTCTGCGCTGCGGCCGCTGGACCCCCCCACAGGCCGGCCTTTGGGGAAGGGAAGGGCCGAGGGAGAACCTTTGTAACACACTCGTCCCGGGCGAACGCGTCTGTCTCGTCTTTTGTGCTGTATATCTGAGTAGTGCTAGCAAACCGTTTTGAATGCACCTTTTTTGTGTGCTGGGGGTCGTTTATTTCAAAACAGAATCTGCATTTCTTCCTCTCTTTTTGGTTTAAGATGTCTTTGTTTCAAAAGGCTGCCTTCCCTTGTTGAAGAAGAGGGGGAAGTGGGATGATTGGCCTTTCCAGGGCATCATGTGCAGGGGGGAGGCGCCTTTCCCTACCCTACGAATGTCCCAGGAAGGGGAAGAGGGAAAGCATGAAAAGTAAACACCCATAAAGAGGGTGTGTTGGGGTTTTTTTTTACGTCAAAGCTGGCTTTGACGTCAAAGAAACGGGGCTCTGAATCATTGCGCTTCCTGGCGTGCAACTTCCCCTTCCATGCTTCCTTTTCAAGACTCATTTGGGGAAGAAAGGAGTTTTTTTGTTTCCTGCTGAGTTGGTTTTGCAGCAGTTTTTTCCTGCCTGCCTGTCGTTAATTTGGGGCATCTGGAGGCACAGAGCCATGGAGGATCGTGGCCAAACCATCACAAGTCTTGTTCTGGACCCTGTGCTCAGGTTGGTGGTTAAATTACTTTTTTGGGGGGGGGAGCCTGAGGAAATAAAAAAGCCACAGCAGCTCCTTGGTGGGGGGGCGGCTCAGGATGGAGGGGGCAGGAAGCGATCTCAGCAGCAGTGGATATTTTTATTGGTTAATATTTTGTTAGGTTTGCCACTAGCGACATCTTTTTGTCTCGATTTGGGGACCGAAATAGGAAGGCGTGGTCTTCAGACTTAACTGTGAAATAAAATGTTTGTGTTCCTAGATCTCATTGTGTTAATGTCACACACACACACACACACACACGCTGCAACGTGGCATGAGAGGGTACGTCAAAGGTGTGGGTGAATCCTTTGTGTGATTTTAGTGGCCGGTGGTTTCATTTGTCAGGACGGGTAGAGACTGGCGTCACCAGCAGGAAAGGTGGGGCCCAAGCCAGGAAGGAGAGGGTTAATGCGCCTTGAGATGCTAGCTGATGTGTGCGGGGTTCTGCAGGTGTTCGCTACTTGTAAGATTCCTGCAGATTCCCGATTCACAGGATCTTGAGTGAGTCTGCCTTTTCCCTTCTTCCTCCCCTGTCCTGTGGATCATTGGCTAGTATGGCAGCCAGCGGGCAAAGAGAGCGAGCGGTGGATGTATTCACCTGCCTTTAAATCTGGAAGGTGGCCCTTCCTCCACCAAAAGGACACGCTTCAGATACGGGGTGGGCTTCTCAAGGGTAGGGACCCTTCCACGGGTTGTGGGCCACCAGAGGCTCCTGCTTGGAGGAAGGACGGGATGCCGGCTAATCTTGCCTAGTCTTAACAAGCAAGGAGCAACGGGGCTTATGTCAGATCTCGTCTGCCGGTGTCTCTCGGGTACAGACAGGCCTGTCTCGAAAGGGGAGGTAGAATAAGCGCTGGCTGTGGCCATCTGACCAAGCGTGATCACGATTCTACAAACAGCGTCAGTGGCCAGATTAATTCTTGTGAGGGAAGACCCTTTGTTCAGAAAGAACAGGGGAAACTCCCAGTTTTTCCTGTGCCAAAGTTACTAGTTCTCATGAGGGACCGAAGACCAACGAGAGCTGCTTGCTAAGAGCGGGCGGTCGTCTGGCTGGACGTTCCCATCGGCTGCTCTCCAGCCACCGCGCGCTGCTCTCTCGGCTTCCTTTGGCCGGTCTTCCCGAGCAACGACCAACCTCCAGACGGGTCACCCCGCGTGACGTCCTTGCTCCCGCTTGACGGCGGGCGTTCCTTCTGCAGTGCTTTGGCAAACGGGACCAAGAGCGGGCGCTCTCGTTCTCCTTCCGCCATGTCCGAGACGGACGACAGCGACGAGGCCTGTTGGAGCAGCCTGGAGAACTTCCGTGTGAAGCTGATCTCCGTGATCGACCCTTCCCGCATCACGCCTTACCTCCGGCAGTGCAAAGTCATCAACCACGACGACGAGGAGCAAATCCTCAACGACCCCAGCCTGGTGATCCGGAAAAGGAAAACAGGTAGCTCATTCATCACAGTAGGACCCTCTTATCTGCGGGATCGGTATCTGCTGATCCACTTACCCACTGCCTGAAAGTATTAAAAGAAAAATCCTAGAAATAGATATTTCTAATGTTGAAGTTACCTGAACTGGCCACCAGAAGGAGCCAGAGACCATACTATGTATTATGGTCCCTCTTAAAATAGTATTTGCTATCATCCACGTTTCTCAGCATCCACCAAGGGGAGGGGGGGATGTGGCAATTCACCATCTTCTTGCTCCCCCCCCCTCGGCTAAACGATGCTCCTTCCTCCCTCGCAGGCGTCCTCCTGGATATTCTCCAAAGGACAGGCCAGAAGGGTTTTGTGGCGTTCCTGGAGAGCCTTGAGCTATACTACCCTCACCTCTACAAGAAAGTCACCGGCAAGGAGCCCACCCGCGTCTTCTCTATGATTATTGGTAATATAAGCCAAGCGGCTCACAGCAATTAAGAGTTACACAACACTCACTTGTTTTTTTTAAATGCCACAAAAAAAATTCAAAACAATTAAAACCCCAAGAGGTTTGGAAGCCAAACCATCCCGTTGAGGGAAGGTTGAGGGAACCCAACACATTCAGCACGGAGAAGGGAAGGCCGAGAGGCGATCTCGGAGGATGATAAGTCGTCTCCGTAGGGTGGCCGCCGCACGGGAGAAGGAGCCCAGGGTTCCCCCTGAGCCCTCCTGTCTCTCCCCCCCTCTCCCCCTGCAGACACTGCCGGGGAGTCCAGCCTGACGGGGCTGCTCATGAGCGAGATCTCGAAGCTCCAGGGCGCCATCCGCGAGGAGAGGCAGAAGGTCCTGGAGCTGAACCTGATGCTCCGCGCCAAGGAAGACCTCCTCCGGGAGACGCGGGTGAAGGACAGCGTCCTGCGCAAGCACCAGGAGAGGGCGCAGAAGATGAAGGAAGAGCGGGACGCCCTCGGCCGGGAGCTGAAGGCCTGCAAGGACGAGAATTACCAGCTGGCCATGAGCTACGCCAAGCAGAGCGAGGAGAAGAACGCCGCCCTGATGAGGAACCGGGATCTGCAGCTTGAGGTGGGCCCTCCCTCCATCCCTCCCAAATGGTGGGGAGCCAACTGGCCGGTGGCAGCAGGGGGGGGGGTCCGGTTGGTGGGGAGATGGGCCTGGATTTCCAGCCACCTTCTCCGCCTCTTCACGGCCCGTCCGGCCTCTAGACGAGAGGCATCTTGGTCGCAAAACCAGAGAGGAGATGAGGGGGAAACTCCACTCCGGATTCTGTGGTCGGGACGGGAGACTACAACAGCCACCGTCCCCAACCTTGAGGGGATGGTGGGAATTTTTATCCAACACCTCAGAAGGAACGAGATTGGGCAAGGTAGCTGTATGTTATCTTGTGTGATCTGTAAGGTAATTTGTGTGCAGAATTACAGAGGGAGGGAGGGAGGGAGGGAGGGAGGGATGGATGGATGGATGGATGGATGGATGGATGGATGGATGGATGGATGGATGGATGGATGGATGGATGGATGGATGGATGGATGGATGAGAAAGGCAACAGGGTGTTCCAGAGGACTGAGGACGTGCCTTGATCTTCGGTGAGCACTGCACATTGCGGTGAACTGAATGGACCGCCAACGTTGCCTTGCGCGCCGTGACTCTCCCCTCTCCTCCTCCTCCTCCTGTCTGTCCGTCGGGGTCCCTTCCGAGCAGATCGACTGCCTGAAGCACCGCCTGGCGAAGGCCGAGGACGACTGCAAGCTGGAGCGGAAGCACACGCTGAAGCTGAAGCACGCCATGGAGCAGCGGCCCAGCCACGAGGCGGTGTGGGAGATCCAGCGGGAGAAGGATTTGCTCTTGGCCAAGAACAAGGCACTTGAAAATACCCTGCAGGTCTTTTTTATAAATAACTTAAAAAGGGGGGGGGGTAGGAATGAAAGGAGGTTTCCCCCCAAGGGAGAGGAGAAGGCGGGAGAGAAAGTCCCAAGGCAGAAGGAGAGACCCCTTGGGAGTGCAGGGGGTCAAGGGGCCAGACCCTCTGCCCCACTCCTCACGGCCTTCTGCCTCTCCCCCTGGACTCCCTGCCCCCCCAGGTCACCCAGAAACGCAGCTATGAGAAGGAGGGCATCTCCCTCCAGCCCCTCGAGGAGGAGCGCGCACGGATGGCGCGGGAGCATCAGCAGCTGCTCAACGCCCTCTACGACACACGCCAGGCGCTCCGGCGGACGGAAGAGGCGCGGGACAAAGTAAGGGGCTATCCTGTCGCAGCTGCGAAGGGGGAGTTTTGTGAACTCCGGAGGGGAAACGGATCCGTGCTGGGGGAAGAAGGCAGCAGACGGGCGTGGGAAGGAGGGTGGCGGAAGTCAGACTACAGTAGGACCCGGCTTATCCGCAGGATCGGGATCCACTGCATCCCTTATCCACAATCTGAAAATATTAAAAGAAGCACCATAGACATTTAGATGTCTAACGATGAATTGGCCAGAACAGGGCATTTGAAGGAGCCGGAGACAATGTCACGGATTGGGGTCAGCCTATGCTCCCTGGCCCCCCACCGTGGCCGGGGGGGGATGACCTCCATGCCGTGGGTCGGTGCTTCCCTTGGCAGGTGGCAGAGGAGAAAGAGCTGCTGGACCTGAGGTGCGCCTCTCTCCAGAAGGACAATCAGATCTACCAGGACCGGATGGAGGCCATCTTGAGGCAGATGGAAGAGGTGGCTGCGGAAAGAGACCAGGTAGGGCCCGCAGAAAGGACAACCAGATCTACCAGGACCGGACGGAGGCCATCTTGAGGCAGATGGAAGAGGTGGCTGCAGAAAGAGACCAGGTAGGGCCCGCGGATCGGCGCCCCTCCTCCCATCTCTCCAAAGGGGAGCCGCTGCGAAGGGGGACCCGGCACAGCAGGGGGGGAGGCCTCCTGCTTGGACCCGGTGTTGTTTCTTCCGGGGCGGCTCGTCCGGAGCGCCCGGTCAAGGGCGTCCCCTCCAGTCCGGCCTCCTCGTTCCCAACCCTGCTCTGACCTCAAGGAAGATGAGGCTCGATGGGGCCAGCCTGTTGAGCTTTCTGCCTTTCTCCCCCCCACCACCACCACCCCCTCGCCGCCCTCCTCCTCCTCCTCCAGGCCCTCCTGACTCAAGAGGGTTTCCACAAGCAGTACGCCCAGAGTCTGCTGGACAAGGACCGCTGCCGGAGGCACATCCGGGGACTCGG